GTGTTTCATCAACAAGCCCGTCTAGCTCAGTTGGTAGAGCGCAAGGCTCTAAACCTTGTGGTCGTGGGTTCGAACCCCACGGTGGGCGATTTTTTCTGTTCCCCAATATTTTCCAGACGAATTTTGATCATGGGCATGTAAAAGGTATAATTTAGTCCTGAACGATTTGATCCAAAATGACAAAATTTTCATTTATATATGTTAATTTAAAAAAAAATCAAAGTATTTAGGGTTACTACAAACTTAAATATTTAAGAAGAGGAGATTATTCATTATATCTATAATGCATCAAGAAACAATACTTAGTGAATGTCTTATATTTAAATTTTTTTCTTTTAAATATTTGAAACAATCTAGGTAAAATAGATTGTATTGCCGTAAATCTAAGAAACCAAATAAATGAAATCTTATATGAAGGAAGGCAAATTTATAGAGGGATAAAAACATCAATTGATATTATTAATTTTATTTAGATATCACACTTCGAAACTTTGAATAGATGTGTTTTGTGAGAAGTTTTGTACTAATTTTGATTGTTTTTTTTTCAAGAAAAGTCAATTAATACTTATTAATTTGTAAATAAAATAATTGAAATAGTGTTCATTAACTATTAAATTATGTGATAAAGTAACAAAATTTATTTTTTCATAGAATTGTTGTTCTAACTCATTAGAGCTCAAAGCTCTTAACCTTGTGGTAGTTGAGCCCACTATATGGTGAATGGAAAAAAAAAAAGAAGTTATTTGAGCTACATTTGAATTTGATGGGCCACTTAGATCAATAATCCATGAAATAATATCGGAAAAAATGAATTTTTTTTAGTAACAACGTATGTCTATTTAAAATAAGTCATTTCAAAAAATAGTCAAATAACTATGAGTTTTGAAGGATAAGTAAAAATAAAATAATTTTTTAAGTACGAAATTACCCTTCCATGACGTTTAAGTGACTATATTATTTATGTTATTTATTATTTTTTTATAAAAGAATCATACCTATATTTTTTATTAATGTATCATTCAAATATTTTGAGAATTTTACCTATATTTTTTAATTCAAATATTTTTCTAAGAGAATTATACTAATTTAAGAAAAAATATTGATTAAATTAAAAAAAAACATTGTAGAAATCGAAATACCAAAACTTAAACAAGAAAATATTTTAGAAATATAAATAACAAGACTCAAGATTGCAGATACAAATATGATGAACAAATACAGTGAACAGATACTGAACAAATGAACAAATACGGCGGTGAACAAATAAACAAATAGGTGGTGAACTGGTGCATATAATGTGTATTTTTATGATACAATTAATATAAAAATATATAAAAAAAAATCTACCTTGGTAGGTAGAAAGTCAAACATATACTGTTGGCCTATCTCTCCTTTACTCTCTGTGCCACCAACTTTGTCATCGAGCTTGCTGCTCCACTGCCCCACCTGTATGTTGACAACATGCCTTATTTTTCCACCATACATGTATGTATGTATATATCTATATATATTAGAAATTAGCGAAGAAGTGCAAGACTCTTAACAAACAATTTTTTTAGTTTTGTGTTAGTCTGGCCTTTATCATTAGGTTTACTATTAGTAAATCTTATTTAGATATCACATTTCAAATTTAATATCATTAGGCCCAATATAGGTTTTTTTTCTACTAGTTTTACATAATATTTCAAGTACACAAAAATCTTCAACCAAAGATATTTGAGTGGATTTTGATATTTAAATAAAATTAACTCGAACCCACGACCATAAAATTAAGAGCATTGCATGCTATCAACCGAACTAGGCAGGCTTGTTAATCATTTGTCAAACGAAGAAGAAAAATTGGTTACTTTATTAGATCGTTTAATAGCGAACAACCATGTACTATTTCATTTTTTTATTTATAAATTAATAAACGTTGATAGACTTTTCTTAAAAAATCAATCATTAATATAGATGATAGATATTGGGCGGCCTAATGACAAGTCTAGCACAAAACCTCCAACCAAAGATGAGTCCCAAGTAACATCTAACTAAACCAATTTTTCTTTTTTATTCAAAAAATTATTAATAAGTCCGTCCAACTTAGTAGGTAGAACGCAAGCTCTTAACCAATACATAAAAGTATCTATGTTCACTAACTATTAAATTATATAATAAAGTAATTCACCAACTCTTTTTTTTTTTTTTGCGGAGAAATTATTAACAAGTCCATCTAGCTCAATTGGTAGAATGCAATGCTCTTAATTTTGTGGATGTGGATTCGAATTTCGCAGTTTAATAAAGTAATCAATTTTTCTTTTTGGTTCAAAAAATGGTTAACTAGGCCATTTAGTTCAGTTGATAGAATGAATACTCTTTAACCTTGTAGCCGTGATTTTGAGCTTAGTGACAAACATTTTTTTAAGTTAACTATCTAACTTAAATTATTTCAATATTTATATATATATTTTTTGACTAACTTAATCATCAAAGTTACATTTTACTAGTTTGCAAACAACGAAGTTTTACTTTAATATTTCTATTTTATTAAGGTAATGTTTTAGTCATTGTCCTTTGCAATTGATTACAAATTAGTCTCTAATGTGGCTGTCAAACTAGGATACGTTTAGTCAATTAAAGCTTAGTCGATTTAAACCGATTTAGTGTTTGGAAAAAGAAAAAGAAAAAGAAAAAGAAAAGTAGAGAACCAAATCGTGCACGATGTGCTTGGTGATGAGATAATTCGAAAACAACACTGAGTGTGAAGGGCAAGAGTCCCTAAAATTCATTGCGATGTCAGCCTTTTTTCTTTTTTCCTATTTTTTTAAAGCCTAAACCGATCAAAATTTTAACTTTTAATAACCCTTTAACGAATCCATAATTTTACAAACATATCACTTTAATTTGTACATATGTATCTTAATTGGAGATTAAATCATTAGTTTTTAGAGATTAAATTGTTACTTTTATTATAGAGATTAAATGTATTTTTTAACTTAAAAAAAGATCAAATATCATTATTGACAGGAGTGTTCTATATTAAAAAAACTAAAAACTCAAAATATTTGAAAGTTAGGTAAAATAGATTGTGTTGTGGATGATTGAAATGTAAATAATAAAATCTTGTAGGAAGTAAGACAAATTTATGGAGAAATAAAAATATCAATTGATATAGTTAATTTTACATAAATGTAAGTAGTTCTGGCGTTATCATTAGACCTAATATTAATGTAACAATTATTTTTTTTAAGAAAAATCTATCAACACTTATTAATTTATAAATTAAATATTAAGTAACAGAGTAGTTGTAATCCCTAACTATTAACTTATGTAATAAAAAAACCATTTTTTCTTATTGGTTCGGGGTTTAACGTGCCAGTTCAATTTTTAGAGTGTAAGGCTCTTAATCTTGTGGTCGTGGATTTTAGTAATATTTTATTTATTTTTATCTTTTTTTAAAATAAATTTATTACAAATTTAATGAACTTTTTTAATTCGACAAGAGGGGAGAGATTTAAACCTCTAAATTTTAGGAAGATATTGCTTCTTTTGAGTTCTGTTACAACCGCAGGAAGAACGCTTAACTATTTATTCTTAGTTATTTCATTTTTTAGTCTTCCAACTTTATCAACGTTACATTTTACTGTGGTTATAGTGGCATGAGCTTATACCATTTTCAAATCTTTTGTTATGGATGGAGAGGTTTTATCAAGAAATTAAAAGAAACTTATTAATTTTTATTTTTTATGTTAAGTTATTACTCTTCTTGCACTCTCAAGACACATCTATTCAACATATCTATATTCACTATTTTCTCTGCTTTACTATTTTAAGAGCAATTGGTGAAAATGGTGTTATTTTTGCTCAACCTCTAATTTCAAAGTGGTTTTAGCTACACGACGTTTAATTAGGTGTTTATTTTTCAATATTCACTACAATTACCTCTTGTATTCGTAATTCCTCCAACATCTTATATTTACATTTTTTTTTATCAAAACTAAAAGAGATTGATAGATTTCTTGTAATAATAATTATAATAGTAATAATCTTATGTCCTTTCTTTTTCAATTTCGTATTACTTTAAAAGTCTCACAACAATTTAGAGAGTTTAAAGCTAGTGACAAATATTTTATTCGTATTCTATAAAGAAAAAGAATCATTAATCCGACATCAAATATTCGGAATACTCGAACAATTATCAGTAAACTTTTTTATTTGTCTTTTTTTTTTTCCGTTTTGATTCAATATTGGATATAAAATAATCCAATTAAACAATTAGAAAAAGTTCAAACATCTTTATTAACCCGAGTGTTCTGTATTTTAAAAAAAATCCTAAATATTTTAAATAATTTATGTAAAATAGATTTTGTTGTGATGAATAAGAAAACTATAAAAAAAAGACCTAAATATCTCTCCCATTTTGTATTTGTCTGGCAAATTTTACCTTTGTATGAAATATAACTTCAAAATTACCAAGAAATAGTCTCTTCAAAAGACAAAAGTCTTCTGACCTAAAATATTTCATAACTTTAGATTAAAGAGTTTTCGTCAGAATATTTCATAACTTTAGATTAAAGAGTTTTCGTGTTAGGATTTTTAAGAACAAATTTAGTTATATATTATGCATAATAATTATGATTTAAATAAAATAAATATTAGGGTGATGTGATTTCAAATTTTATTAATTTTGTTCACTATATTTTCAAAATGTATGTAAAATTTGTTCATTATTCCCTATACTCCAAATCGTATTTTTTTTTATATTTATATTTTAAAAAAGTGACAATTTTAATTATTTTTAGGAACCATTTTATTATTATTTGTAACATTTTCAACACAAATTCTATATGGCAAACTCTTTAATACAATTTAATAATAAAGTTGGTTTGGTTCGTTTCAACCAGAACTAGAATTTTGATTTTATAAAAAAGAGAGATTTTAAAACCTAAATGAAAACGAAACTCAAAATTCGGCGAAAAAGAAAAAATAGTATTTTATTTTATTTTTCCAACTATAAAATCGCCGCCCGCACTGGGCAAATCAAGAATCCGACTTCTTCGCAACGGAGCCAGGTTCGCGACTCTCCGAGAGAGATAAAAGGAAGAAGAGAGGGACGGTGGCACTGTCAGATGAAACCCTAGCACACTACGGGGAGGAACACAACTTCTTCTTGATCGATCCGACCTTCGCGACCCCATGGGATCGGCCTGCTGTTAAGAGCAAAACCTGCAAATTACCCACCAACAGAGGAGTCAGGCATTGCTGCGGCGTTCTTTGGTTTGCTGGGTTTCCTTGTTCATGCCTCCTGGTGTGTAAATTAGATAATTATCTCTGTTTTCTTTTCTGGGTAGCTACTACTTTAACTTTATAGCCCTGTTCTTGTGATTGAAGGTTGAATTTCTGCCCAGAAAGTAGTGGTGTTTGAGTTTAGAATTTCTTTCGTTTTGTGGCAATGGCGACCGTTTTCACTGTCTCCTATGTTGCTATGCGACTGAAAATGATGAATTGAACTGATGGGGGCATCTGACTTTGTTGGAGAATGTTTCATTTTGGAGAGATTTATAATTTTCGGTGTCTAGAAGTTGTTTGGTTAAATTTTGATTTTTAAGTATTGTGTTATGTTATCCTCTCTTGAACTCTCACGTGGACTGAGCTCTTACATGAACTGCTTATATTAGGCTCTTTGGTTATTGGGCCAATTATGGTGGTTAGTTTTTGATATAATGTAGTGTATTACATTTAAAAACATTAAAATGTATTGTAGATCCAATTTTATTCCATGTTTTGTCTCTCATTGCCATAAGCTTGAATTTCTTTTATGTGTTAACCTTCCCTACCGAAGAAGAGTAGTATTGCTCAGGCTCAAGATCCATCAAAATTCCTTTTGTCCCAAGAGAACTCATAGAATATCTTTTTTTTTGAACAGGAAACTTTTATTCATTGATGTAGTGAAAAGATAAGTACAAAATATGAAAGCATAATCCTTCATCAAGGAGCTTATGAAGAAGCACTTTAATTTGAGTTAATTACAAAAGGAGTGCCTTGCACAAAGTTTATTTTTGTGACTACACTTCCTTTGTTATCAACCTAGATTGGAGATCTTTTGTTTGATTCCTCTGTGGTATTATTGTTAGATTGTTCTGTTTTGTCTTTCCAATGAAGTCCTTTCCAGGAACTATGCATAGAAATACTAGTACAAACAATGAATTTCTACTGCAGTGAAGACTTCTAACTAGTTTTCCTTTATGATTAAACAACCTATTGTTCGAATGTGAACAATGTCCCACATCCATCAGGAGAGGGGAGGATCCATGTTATATAAGTAAGGACACATCTATATTGGTATCAAACCTTACTGATTATATCAAAAGAAAATTAATGCTGGCTTGGCCCAAAATGAATAATATCGTACAATTGTAAAGATACAGGGAGGTTAGTTTTCTTAACAAGTGGTATCAAATGCATGCCACAAAATTAGTTGTATCGACGAAATCTTGAGGGTGACATACAAAATTGGCGAGCCTGAAGATATAGTCATGGGAAATTGTGGATGAATCCTTTGATGTTGAACTAACTTGGTCTGAAGGTAGGATTGCTAAGGGTGTGACGGAGAGTGGTCGATGGTAGTTAACCTATAATGTGATTCATGGCTGAGTTTTATTGTATATGCGGTGTGTTACTTGATAAGAGAAAGCTTTAAATGTGGTTGAGAGTTGACGAACAAATGACTATTTGAGGAGCAGCTCAGCGGTCATTTGTTCTTCAAGGGGAGGATTTGTTGGAAATGTGAATAATGTCCCAAATTGGCTAGGAAAGTAGAAGATCCATGTAGCGTTTTCAACGCGCTCATCACCAACACGTATTGTTTCTTTTCAACTGTATTTTTCATCACCAAGCATTTAGCCCATTTGTTCTTAAGATTTTTGCTTTCTTCTTTAGTTTGCAGCCATGTCATAGTTGTATCACTATCAGATTGTGTCTTTTTTGCTATCCTGTTCATCCCAAACACTTGAGCAAGTGGTTATAGCACCATGAGCCAAAAGGACAATGTTATAGCAAATGGTCAAGTTCTTTCTTCTCAATTTTTTACATAAAACATATGAGTTTGGGTTGAGTAACTAGTTTGGACTATGCTTTTGTATCTTTCTAGCTGGGAACTTCATGGACAGAGTTCCTAGATAAATATCTTAACTTTATTGGGCTTCTCTCCTTTCCATAGTGCCTGTGTAGTTGCTCCTATATACAATCATTATGTTTTTGGTCATGCCTTTTTTTTTTTAATTATAAATAATATTCTTTATTGATTACTTTTTCTATTATGATCAAGGTTTCTTCCAAATCTCCAAGAGCAACCATGTCACTCACATATAGCGACTCAACGGATGGGGCTCAAAGGTTGAATATTGAAAATGGCCATTGTTCTCCACATCCAGGTCTACTCAAATATAGAAGACGTAAAGTTTTTGTTGTTCGGGATTTCCCTCCTGGCTGTGGTCGTAGTGTTCTACAAAATAACTCAATCCCCATAAAAGTTGCGACAGGCGATGCGATTGATAATTCTCACTCAAGGTATAATGGTGTGTTGGGAAGCGTGGAGATGCCTGAAACAAATACTACATTAGAATTGACTACAAAAAAATCCAATATTTTTGGTCTAAAGGATGGCCATAGTACGATGAATGTTGAATCATTGTTGATTGATAATTTGGAAGGCAGAGATGGAGCCACTGAAAATATAATAAATAATGTAGGAGACGACGATTCATTGAAGAATTTGCATGAAGTGGTTGTTTCATCTAGAAAAGATGAGACAGTTGAGCCCAGTAATTTGAGACCATGCTCACCAACCGATTACTTCTTATTTGTTTCTAATGGCAAGGACGTGAAGAAGACTGTGGTTAGAAGATACCCTCCGAGAAGAAAAGTTTCGGCTATTAGAGATTTCCCTCCCTTTTGTGGACAAAATGCCCCTCCTTTATCCAAGGAGGTGTGCTCCTCAATGCTTACCTCTCAAAATATTTATGCTGTAGATAGAGATAATTTCGGGCTTCATTGTAAGTCATCAAATTTGGGTAAAGATGCAGAATATGTGGTAGATAATGTTCACAAAGTAGAACACAATATCGAATTAATTTCTGAGAGTAGACTAAATGAAGCAAAAGAAGGTTTGGAGGAAAAACTGGGGAAGGAAATTGTGGTTTACACGGGAGATACGACTACAAAAGAAAAAATTTCAGATATGCCCTCTCGTCAGAAGATATTAGAAATTGAACCTTTTGAGCAAGCCCTTGCATCTGAAAGGGTTGTCGTGCAAGGTCTTATGGCTGCACCTAATTGTCCTTGGAGGCAGGGGAAATCTAACTACAAGCCCTCCCTAGGAGGTGGTTCAAGTGAAAGGAAAGTGAAGAAACGTGACCATGGTCTTTCAGAGAAATCAGAATCTATTTTAAGAAAGGAAGATGTAAAAGAGTGTCATAAAAAATCTTCAAAGAAGAAATCAATTGTAAATAGGGACGCTGGTAATGGGGAAATGCGCCAGCTAGTTATTACGGGTGGCACGGATATAGGTGCCAGTGACAATGAAAATATCGATTTTCATGTGAATCATAGATCCTATAATACTGATGTGAGTCTCATTCCATTTTCTCAAACTAATGAAAACGGAAATGATCACGGTAGTGATTCTAAAGGTACTAGGACTGTAGTAAGAGAGACATTGCGACTTTTTCAAGCGGTATGTAGGAAGCTCTTGCAGGAAGAAGAAGCAGGGAAAAAGGACCAAGGAAATGCATCCAGGAGGATTGATTTTATAGCCGCAAAAATTCTCAAGGACAAAGGGAAATATGTTAACGTGGGTAAACAAATCCTAGGTTCGGTCCCTGGAGTTGAAGTTGGAGATGAATTCCGATATAGGATAGAACTTAATATCATAGGACTTCATCGCCAAACTCAGGGTGGCATAGATTATGTGAAGCATGGTCAAAAGATCATTGCTACTAGTATTGTTGCATCTGGGGGATACACAAATAACCTCGATAACTCAGATGTATTGATTTACACAGGCCAAGGAGGAAATGTGATGAATTCAGACAAGAAACCTGAAGATCAAAAGTTGGAACGAGGAAACCTTGCATTGAAGAATAGTTTTGATGACAAGAGTCCTGTTAGAGTGATTCGCGGCTCTGAGTCATCTGATGGAAGAACATATGTCTATGATGGGCTATATTTGGTGGAGAAATGGTGGCAAGATATGGGTCCTCATGGTAAGCTGATTTTCAAGTTTCAATTGTATCGAATTCCAGGTCAACCTGAACTTGCTTGGAACGTACTAAAGAAGTCAAAAAAATTCAAAGTAAGAGAAGGTCTTTGTGTGGATGATATTTCTCAAGGGAAAGAATCAATTCGTATTTGTGCAGTGAACATCATAGATGATGAGAAGCCACCGCCATTTAATTACATCACAAAAATGATATATCCTGATTGGTGCTGCCCAATTCCTCTCAAGGGTTGTGATTGTACTAATGGGTGCTCAGATTCTGACAGATGTTATTGTGCCGTCTTGAATGGAGGAGAGATTCCATTTAATCATAATGGGGCTATTGTTGAAGCGAAGTCTCTTGTCTATGAGTGTGGTCCTTCGTGCAAGTGTCTTCCTTCTTGTCATAATCGAGTTAGTCAGCATGGTATCAAATTTCAACTAGAAATTTTTAAAACCAAATCTAGGGGATGGGGTGTGAGATCCCTAAATTCAATTCCCTCAGGAAGCTTTATTTGTGAATACATAGGTGAGCTTCTCGAGGATAAGGAAGCAGAACAAAGAACTGGTAATGATGAGTATTTGTTTGATATTGGGAATAACTACAGTGACAATTCTCTTTGGGATGGACTTTCAACCCTCTTGCCTGATGCACAGTCGAATGCTAGTGATATTGTGGAGGATGGTAGTTATACCATTGATGCGGCAAATTATGGTAATATTGGGAGATTTATCAACCACAGTTGTTCACCCAATCTTTATGCCCAAAATGTCCTTTATGATCATGAGGATAAGAGAATTCCGCATATTATGTTCTTTGCGGCCGAGAATATTCCTCCTCTACAAGAGCTGTCTTACCATTACAATTATATGATGGATCAGGTTCGTGATTCTGATGGAAACATTAAAAAGAAGAGATGTCATTGTGGTTCCACAGAATGTACTGGTTGGATGTATTGAGTTGGACCTAGAAGTTTCAATCAGGAGGCTATATGTTTCATCTTGTAGTAAGTTTCCGTACTTATCTTTCCCTCATTTCTCTGTTTTTTGTGTGGTCTTGGTACAGATGCATGCATGCCTGTATAACTCAATTTAGTGTAGTGGTCATGCTAATGACATGGCTCCATTGCTGTTAAATTGGATCTTATATATGTTCTGTCATCTGTGGCAATTTTTTTGTGGTTTCCCATCATTTCTCGACTCTAACTTGATCTCCCATAATTTTCTCATTAATTGGAAGGAGTACAGTAATATAGCTTGTTGGAAAGAATTTTGATATGTCCAGGTTCTTGCACCATAAAGAGGGCAAAGAGATAGTTCCTTTTTGTTTTAGAAGTTCTTTAGAATTTGGAAATGTCTCAAAACTCTGGAATGTATGTCGGATATGGATAAACTTTATGTGCATCTCAACTAATCTTAAGGAACGATCTTTCTCTTATTCTTTTTAGTAATGAAATATACAAAAGGGGAGGATGGCCCTCCCAGCCACCTAAGGTAGATTACAAAAAAAATGTCCACCTAGAAACAAGAGTAGTAAAGCTTAATCTTTGAAAGGATGAAAACATTTACGCCAGTACAAAACAGTAAAAAAGAGTCGAGTCTATTAAGCTGCGGAATGGAATGGGGGAATCCTTGAAGATGTGGTTGTTTCTCTCACAACAAAGGATACAAAAGGAAGCCTATTGATAGAAACCATAGGACTTCCTTTCCATCTTTAAACGGATGACCCAAAAAGATTTTTTAAAGAATGGTATTATGAACTTCAGTCTCAATGAGACTTACATTTGTTTGATTCCAAAGAGGGTTGATGCTTGGTCAGTTGGTGATTAAGTGTTGCCCAAACACGATCACTACCCAACAATCTGCTTTTGTTGCTGGTAGGTAAATGTAAAATTCTAGATGCTTCCCTCATTGCTAGTCGTTATTTGAGAGATGATTCTTTATTGTTGGAAAATGAGGAGTAGCCAAAGAGATTCTTTTTTTTTCGATATTCGTGAGTGTCCGGGCAAGCTTGCGTGCACCTCGACTAATCTCATGGGACAACCGCCTGACCCTGCTACATTTGATTGTCTAGGTAACTTGTAGAATATTAAATCCTAGGTAGTGGCCATCATGGTTTGAACCCATTCCCTCTAAGCCTTTTGCTATTTACGTTGGTCCTTATTGACCACTAGGCTACACCATGATGGTTGTAACTAAAGAGATTTATTAAAGGTTTTTTTTAGGGTTTTTGATTTCTCAAGGAGGTTCTGAGGGTTTTTGATTTCAAGGAGAGTTATCATTGGTGGAAATCGAGGTTTGAGAATTCATAGGGTCTTCTACAGTAGCATTTATTTCTTTTTGGCTGAAGATTTTGAAGCGTTTTTGTGTCCCTAATTCTTTTATTTAAATATACAAAGGATTTTTGATCCATTTGTTTTTGTCTTAACTTCTTGGTGATTTTGAAGTTGGAGGTTTGTTTTGAAAGTTTGAAGTTTTGGTTCTTTTCATGGTGTTTAAGCTCTCTTTTAGGTTGTCTTACTTGCTGGCTTTTTGGACTGCTTCAGGAATGGAGTCATCTCAAGTTTATCTTCCTTTGTCTTTTATGCCTATTATCATTCTTGTTCATTTGGGTTGTATTTTCCCTTCTGGGTTCTTGTTTTTCCTCAGTCTTTTATGTTTCTTTTCTCTCCCTTTCTGAAATTGTATCCTTTGAACAAGTTGTTCCTTTCATTAATCAATGAAAAGTTTGTATCATGTTAAGAAAAAAGATGCTTCCCTCATTGCAAATGAGCTTATTGACGAATGGTAAAAGGAAAAATGAAAAAGGCGTGGTTATAAAGCTAGTAATTGATTGAAAAAGCTTTGATAAGGTTGATTGAGATTTTTTTGATGGTATTTTGGAAACATAGTAATTGATTGAGAAAACTTTGATGAGGTTGATTGAGATTTTCTTGATGGTATTTTGGAAACAAAGGACTTTGGTCAAATTTGGATGGGATGGATTAGAGGGTGCATATCATCTGCCAACTTCTCTGTCATTCATTATTAATGGGAAACCCAGAGGAAAGTTAAGGGCTACAAGGGGCCTTAGGAAGGTGACCCCTCTTACCTTTCCTTTTCATACTAATTGTGGACTGCTAGGAAGTAGCAACACGCTATTTTGAAGTGAGTGTCGGTGTCAGACATGTGTCGGACTCCGACACGCTTCCGACACGTGTTCGACATGCTTAAATACGCAAGCAACACGTACAAGACATGTGAGAGACACGTTCAAGCTTCTCCACCCACGAAATCTCTTCCAATTCAGCCATCTTTTTCTACTACCCATGGCGTTTCGACTTCTAGCTTTTCTATTACCCACGACATTTTGGTATCTCCCTTATGGACGAGTAGAAAGAAGAAGAAAGGTAGAAAGAAAAAAGGCGAACTCGAAATAGACGAAGAGGATGAGTT